TTTTTTTTTTTTTTTAACAATGGAGAAACAATACACCATTCATTCAACAATACTAGTTCTAATTGGATTTTTTACAAAACTTATAAATGACAATCAAATGTTTTTTTAATTAAGTAAAATTAATAAATAAGAACTACATGTAAATAAATAAATAAAAAGAAAAAGAAGAAGAAATTTTCAATTGAATTTTTTTGTTCTATTAAATTTTCACTTAAATATTTCATTTTAAAAGTGAAAAACTCAAATTAAAATTACTATTATTGAATAAAAATAGTAACATTAAAACTTATAATTTGTTTGATTTGATGGGAGAATTTCAATTTCTTTTATACTTTAGTTTAATCAAATGAGTGAGTGTAAGTAAACACCTCTATAATGTAAGTAAACCTCGGGTTGGAGCTTAGGATGTTTTGAATAATGGTTTAAATGTAGCAGATGGTCACATTGTTGTTCCTATATTCTTTCCCGTCGACAGTTGTGTAACCATATCTTTTCCACTGAGACTCAAAGACAGCAGAGACAAGGAATTGGGCAAACAATGGCAAATCAAAATCATTATTTTTCTTTCCTTGATCAGCAAAATCAAAATCATTATAAAATAAACCGGTTCCCATATCTAAACCCTAACATGTGGAAGTTAAGTAGCAAAAATTGGAGGCCGACGGGGGGCGGGCCAGGGGGGGGTTTCCAGTTATCCATATACGATTTAACTCAGACAAAATGGTTAAACTTGGATAAAATGAAAAAATGTTGAATCCAATCAAGCTTCCAGCATTTAATGGAACCACTTCACTAATTTAGAAAAGATAGATGATTGCAATCTTATTTGCAACATCTAAGGCATCATAATCAGGAGTCAATCTTACATATGCCTTCTTAGTTCCATCAGTCCTGCAAAAAAAAAACAAACAAAGCTAAGAAGACCAGAATATGAAATAGACACTAGATGCCATTATCATGCCCTACATAGAGAATAAACATCAAAACAGACCCTACAACTGTCTGCTGATACCCACCACCAAAATTTGAAGTTAATAGAGTACTAAAGGGCTTCTTGCAAAAGTATTTCATTTCTTCACCTTAACATATATTTAACGTGTCCCACAAGAATTGGTAAGATTTGAAAGTGCACCACCAGAACTTGGTTGATGTAATGAAATATACCTGATCAAAGTATTGACTTGCTTGGCCTGAATGTCATAAATCTTCTTCACTGCATTTTTAACTTCTTCTTGTCAGAGCGGATGTCAACAATGAAAACTAAGGTGTTTTTTTCCTCAATCTTCTTCATTGCCGACTCAGTAGTTAGTGGATACTTGAGAATCTGGTAATGGCCCAACTTATTTCTAGTGGGTGCACTAATTCGTGGATGCTTGGGGTTCCTCTCTCTTTTTAATGTCTTTGGCCTATGAAATGTAACTCATTTCCTGAACTTCTTAACTTTCTTCTTAAATGTTGGACCTGATTTTACAACCTTTGCAGTCTTCAATGCTTGTGCCGTGGGATCAGTCTTCTTCACATTGTCAACTGCACAAGACGAAACACAAAATTTACATACGAGGAGGATGCAGGACAATGAAAATACGGACACAAGGGATATCTCCTGCAGACAGAAGGGCAAAACTTGGACAAATGCTGCTCAGAAAGAAACCATGCCTGACCCAATTATGCACCTAGAGATGTTTCATGAATAAGAGCACAGATAAACAAAAAAGATAAAGAAAAGAAGAAAGGAACTACCTTTAGCTGGAGCCATTGAGAAAACTCTACCCCAACACCTCCTAAACCTGGGAACAAAGTAGCAGAGGCTTGATATGGATTATTTACACTAAAGCAGTAAAGTGTACGGATTTTAAACTCAAAATTTGGATACCCAGAGGGATGAATTAGCAGATAATGAGGAGAAAATCATAATGGAGAAGAAGGATGAAGCATACCTAAGCTGCGGCTGCGGCTGCGGCTGCAACTGCAAAGAGTAAAGGGTTTTGTTCGAACTGAAGAAGACGATCTGCTGTGTTTATAATTATATTTACCCAACTTAACCCATCTGTTAAAACGGGTTGACTAGTGGGGCATTAGTTTTGGGCCATGCTGATAGATTCGTTGATTTGGGCCTACCAAACACCCATTTTATTTTTTTGGTATTTACTTCTCGATATTCAGTAACCATATTGAATCTTAATTAATTCAAAATCGAATCTCATGTAACCTCATAAGGAAAAAACTCTTCCAATAACTATTTCTCATTTCATAAGACTTAAACTTTAGATTTTGTTTAAGGAGAATCAAGTTTCTTTCGCTTTGATCAATAGGCCATTGGTAACAAGAAAACCCATCTTATTTGGTTATTTGATAATCCATTGAATTATGATTAAGGAAAAGTAACTTGCAAGATGTGTTTTAAAAAATATCATAATTTAAATAATATTTTAAAAAATAATTATTTTATTAAATATTTTATTCATATAAATTATATATATCAATTTTTAAGTTAATTTAATATATTTAACTAGTTAATTGATTATAAAAAATTTAATATCGTTAAATATATATTAGTAAATAAAGTTTTTTTATTAAAAAGTTATAAATATTAATCAATTTAAAAATTAATATATAATCTATATTACTAAAATATTTTAATCTAACTATTAATTTTTTAAAATTATTAATTAAAAATGAGTTTTTAGATAAATCTTTCAACAAAAAATATATTTTTTTGTATTAATCTCTTGGTATCCGGTTACCACATTGAATTTTGACTAATTCGAAATCGAATTGCATCAAATCCAATAAAAAAAGAAACTCTCTCAGTGCCTACTTATTCATTCACAATACTCGAATTTGAAACTTTACTTAAAAAAAAAATCAAATTCTTTTCATTCGAACCAACATATCTTTAGTTTCCAACAAAATATTTTAAGAGTATGTACAATAGGATCTACACCATTTACAATACTCGAATTCGAAACTTTATTTAAAAATAATCAAATTCCTTTCATTCGATCCAACATATCGTTAATTTCCAACAAAATATTTTAAGAGTATGTACAACAGGCTCTACACCAACCTCTTATGATAGTATGTAATATATGGAGTATGAACTGTACTCATTTCATTCCCATAGATCACAAATTTTAAAACACAATCTGCGCATGTGGGCGTGGCCCATGCTGACATGCAGTGTTTGATTAATTATATGTATGAATTCCACCAAGGAATTCCTTAAATAAGCTCACACTTACCAGATGACCTGTTTATTTAATGTATTATTATGATTATAATGCATTAACTCTAACCTTCCTCATAATTAGAAGCTTAACAGCTTGTCCTCTTATGCTATTTTTCATTTTAGTTAGATAATGTATAGGAATTAACAATAATTAACCCTGTAATTTCAAAACCTAATTTACTTTGTGAAAGCTAGAAAAGAAAAAAAGAAGGAAGAGTTTATACTGTTTTAGCGGACTATACTCTCAGAGTGGTTAAAATATCAAAAAAAAGTATTATGCATTTGATTAAAATTTTCAATTCAAACCATTAGATAAAGGTGAGGTTCTTTCCCATTCAATGAATTTTTTTTTTTTTTTTTTGAGTCTAGACTTAGAGGGAAATTATTGTAGGTTTGTGTTTTTTTTATTTTCTCTTTTTTTGATACATAGAAGTTAGGGGGTAAACCCTAGATCTATAATTAAAAATGTAAGTAATTTTATCACTAAATCACATAATTAATGGTATTGTATACCTATGTTTATGAAATAATTAGGACTAATATTGAATATGTTGAAAAAAGAACTAATGTAGTATGTCATTTTTTCATGTGTAAAATTGTAGATCCCAAAGACAAGAAATCATTGATTGGTCATCAGTCAACTGGAAATTTTGAATATTTGATTGCTTCATTATCTGTCTAAAGAGAGCAAATCTTTTGCTTGGAATTCCAGACAGATGCATTCAAGATTATTATATAACTGAAATCGAGGGCCATTAATTCCTATAATAAGTCAAAGTTAAACCAAATTGTAATTTTAAAAAATCTTGTTTCCTATACGTACGAATGAGGGGTGTGTGTTGTTAATTAAGTGACCAAATTCCATATTTGAACATTGCTTGTCATTCTTGAAGCAAGTAAAGTCAGTTCTTTTTTTAGAACTGGTGTCTCAAGTTGAAGAGCTAGCTGTTTTAATTGCATCGTGCATGCTGCAGTTGATTGCTTTTCTTCCAAATGATTCTCAAAAACAGAGGCAAACATTCTTGCTACTTTACTTAATTTGTAATTAACTGAAAGTTGATTAGTAGTACACACAATAATTGAGTTCTTCAGATTGAAGCAAACATTACGAATCATTTTGAAATATTAATCCTAGCTAATTTGAGAAGATCAAATTTAATTCTTTGATAATTAAGCGTCTACAAATGATAGTTCTAACCAATTATAGTACAGATAATAATTTAATAAAAAAAACTTCAAAAATAAAAAATTTTAAGTAAACCAATGTCTTTGTTATAGGTTAAGTTTAGAATTTAAGTCTCATTACTAACAACCAAACTTAAATATTCTAGTTCAATGTAGAGGAACGCCCTTCGAATCTTATGTGAAAAAATTATTTTTGTTGTATATGCAAGTTGGGACAGGGATATCTTAGTTAAAAAAATGATTAAATTATATATAATCTTAGATCAAATGAATATTAATTTGAATGACTAATTTTTATCAAATGCCACCCTGCCATTCTCCAATCTTACATGAGTCCATGACCTAGCCTTTTAATATATCACATAGATATACTAGTTTATGTTAAGGTATACATATGGGCCCCTGTCTCTACATGTCAACCAAGTATACAAATATAAGATCAACACATACAGTGGATCACATTCCACTTATAATTTGTTTAAAGCAGACAAATCACTGAACTAGATGATTCCTGATTCTATTCACTCAGCATTTTCCTTTTGTTTTTTGATGAATACTTTGCCTTTTCTTTCTTCTTTTTTTCTTACACACAAGCATGAGAAGATGGCTAAGGGTCAGTTTCACTTCCATGAAGGATAATGCCTGCCCAGCTAAAGAAATTAATTGTTTTTAGCACAGCCACGTTAAGGAGCTTCCAAAATCTACTGAAAATTAATGGAAATTAACTATATTTTATTTTATTTTATAAAAAGAGTTGTTGATTGATCCCAAACTATAAACAAATAAGTGCATAAATAAATTAGAGAAATGCAAAACAGGTAGATTAATTCCCTGTAAATATAGATTGAAACTAAGATAAGGTTGAAGTGCTTCTGATTAATTAGATCAGAAATTTGATTACAAGATAAACAGCAGGGAAAAAAAAATTGTTATCTACTCAACCTTCTCTTTTCCCCTTCTGTATTTTGATTTCATTCAGCATCCCTAATTTCCAAAACAAAGTTTTTGCTTTTGCATTATACATATTCTTAATGTGTATCAGATCATTTTGAACTTGAGATGCTGTCTCTCTGAGATGAAAGTATGGCATCAATGGCTTCCTTTACTTGGGAAATGTCAGGTGCTTTCCCTCCTTGAACAGGCCAGAATTCATCAGTTGCCAATACCTGCATCAACATATAATTTAAGTAATCCAATTCTCCTCATTATGGGTTTAGTTATGAATTTTTTTCCCCAGTTTTCTTCACTTTTGTTTTGCTGATTTTTCCTTTTTGGAAAAGAAATTAAAAGAAAATATATCATATATACCTTCACTTGCAACTGAAGAAATTTGACATAGCTAATGGCTTTCTCTAGCATGGTAACCAGATCAACCTGTGCAAGACAACATTAATTAGTAATGAATGCTCAGCTATATGTCTACTCTGAAGAAGAAACTTGTGCCTTAGTGAAAATTACATATCTGGGCCTACCTTGGAACCATTTGGCACCAGTTCCTGCAGTATCTTAAGCCGCTCGTTGATCCTCTCTCTTCGATTCTACACAATTGATAAACATTCTCTTACTGTTGGAATCAAAATTCCATTCACAATTTTGCTTCATTTGCAATCAAACCCAATGTTTACTTCAGATGCAAGCAAAAGTACCTTAGCTGCAATACTTTGGGGATCCTTGGATGGACCTGACTTTGGTTTCTGTTTCTTATTAATAGCCGCACCACTACTACTGCTGCATTGCTTCTTCAAACCTTGCATACTCTCTCCCTGCCAATTTTTTTTTTAAAAAAAAGAGTCAAAATTTCCAAGACTAAGATTCATAAAAACCAGTTAAATTGGTGCAATTTGGGAAAGAATGTTGTATAATACCAAATGGGGACGCTTAACACCAATTGTCTCTGGCAGTGCTGACTCTTGGATATTATCAGATACTGTTGTTCCTTCAGTGTATAACCAATCACTATGGCTTCCCTTGGCAGCAGTGAAACTGCTAGATGTTTCAAAGCAGTTGAAATCCTCCACAAGGCGCGGATTACCCTCCCACATCGAGTAATTGCCACTTCCTTGAAAAGTATGTTCAAAACTAAGCAAAGATTCATTCCCCTGCATACCGTCATACCCCCCTTTGAAATTTATCATAGACTGAGCTTCCTCAGGCTGATAGTTCAAAACTTGGAAAGGATTAGAATCCAAGCTACACGGTGCTGAAAATGAAGAAGAAGAACTCATGCCAAACTTCTTTACAACACTCGACCCTACTGCAGTACTCTTCTCCAAGCTATTTTCTTCCCCAAATGCCATTGAGATTGAATTACTTAGGCAGTAGGAAAATCAACTGTTCTACAAGGCCTCAATGCAGGGACTAATGATATATATAGAAACAGAAATAAAAATGGATTAAAGTCTTAAGGACATACTGAATAAGTACTTAAAATATGTTGTGTATTGGGATTGTTAGCTGGCAGAGCCAAGTGTATAGATTGGAAGAAGAAGAAAAAAAAATGAACTGAGCAGCAGAAGGGGCGGCGGATCTTCCGCCATCCCCACATCTCTGATCTCTCAGATTCCATAATAATTCTTTTATCAAAGAATCAGGACCAGTTTTCAGGCTGTCTCCTATGGTGTTTCCTTCTCGGTTCTTCACGTGATTTAATAGGCTTACTCGCAATTTTTATGCTTGCGGTGCGTTTCATGCTGCTTTGCAAGTCAATCACGAAACCATTGATGATGTCTTTCATGCACTTCAGTTTTAAACTGTGGTAAGAAGTCACTAATTTTTTTTGGTAAGAGGTCTTATGATGAGTTATAGATAGCCCTCTCATTTCTCATATTCCTCTATCTCAAAATTTAAATATGATTAAGCAAATAGTAATCCAACTTAAAATTATATGATAAAAAAGTTATCATTCCAATTAAATACTTTTTTTAATTACTTGATCTTGAGTTGTACAATAAAATATAATCTTCTCTCACATCTTAACTTCATTATAATTACATATTATGCAATTCAAATTTGTTACCATTAACTTTGATTGTTAGTATTTTGGTAAAATAAGTACCTCAAATTTGCTCTAAAAGTACAAAAGGAGTAGGCTTTCCTGGCCGAACTACACATTGCACCAGAATATACTTGATGGGGACTAATTAATAGTACTCCTTGTTCAATTCTTTCATGTGGCTGACACCTAAAAGGAAAGTGTTAATTAACAGAAGCATTTAATTTTATATTTTTACAATTAAGGACAACTTTGGTGAACACGATGAAGATCATCATCCACATGTTTTTCTACACAGACAGCAAAGAAAAGGAATGACAACATAGCTGGCATTGGAAAATGAGTAATTCATCCAGCTTTGAAGGAACTTGCTGCGTTTGGCTCAAATATACTACTCCTCAAGAATGAACTGGGACTGGGAGGCTCTTTCACATCAACAGATCATGGTGTCACAATCACGATTTTTTAATGTTAGTTTAACATATCTCAATCCAAGTATTAATTAAAACTCAAATAATCCTCTAATCATATGATTGTTTGACTTACAAGTTACAACTGTCGAGCTCAAGCTAATCGCAACCCTGTTCTAAAACCTCACCCATGATGCATGATCGAATAAAGGTCAAGTTATGCAATTGAGTACCTCCTAGTAACTCAACGAATTTACAGCCTTACGGTGGCCCAATCTCTCTACTCACCCTTTACATATTATTATGATTTTTCACTATTAACATCTTTAAAAATTTATATCACGAACAACACTTTTTATAATTTATAATTTATAAAAAATTAAAAAATTTACAATCATAATTTTTATTTACACCTTGATTTTATTAATAATTTGATATTTTTTATGATTCTCAAATTATACATAGTATTGATTAAAAGTGAAAATTATTGAGAATATTAACTATAAAAAAAAAATAATATACAAAATACAAATAGGAAATTTAGCCCTTTACTTTGCACGGGCGAAACCAAAACAAGGATTTCTCCACTTTTACTTTTGAGGATGGAGCAAGGCCTGATGACTAATGG